CTTTTAGTTCGATTCCCACAGACGGCGCCAATGTAATTACACCAAACCAAAAGTCCTTATTCAGTCCGCGTCTACACTCTGGGATGACCTGCAAAGCCCTGAGGTGAAACTCAGGGAAGACACTCCGATGCTTAAGTCAGCAATAATCGGGACTACCTTTAGGGCGGAGATAAAAAGAGCTTAGGGTTGGTTTCAATTACCTTTTTACGTGGCCCGGGGGGGTATTTATAGGATCCAATGAGGAACCCACGTGGCATGCCAAGCAAGATATTCGGGATCTGATGTGTATCTCCAAACGGTTATTTCGGGACCAGGAAATTGAGAGATATTCTGATGGGAAAATGCCTATCATAACCGCTATGTAGCTCATCATAAGGAATCAGGTGCGGGCCTGCTCATTGTTACTGTCATGCAGCTATTTGAGCGGGAAGCTCTGGGTTTATCCTTCACTTCGGTCATACAGGAATTACTGTAGCAGTCCGAGGCTTGGCACCTCGGACCTATCCTTACACAGCTAAATGGGTAAAATTGGACTTAAAGGAAGCTGTCCATACCGGAATTCAATAAGCAAGGTCGGAGCTGGCGGGTTTGGGGGGGGAACCGACAGAAAGTGCAGGGGAAGCTCACGGCAAACTCCAGAAATTCAAGAACCAAAACAAAAATTAGAGTAACCCAAGCCAAATTAAGAGAGAGAGGATGAATTTCATGGCTGTGGCTTACCCGAAGAAAGCCCAAAATTCACACCTCACACAGCAGAACCCGCGGACAACAGAGGAGGAAAAAGCAGAGCAACCCAGATCTGGGAAATTCTGGGTTTAACAAGTGTTCTAGAACAAGAAAATAGGGAGAAATCCTAAGTTTTACCGGTATTCCTGACCGGAAATGGGTGGCGGTGGCTGGGGAGTTCGTCGGGCTGCAGAGGGTCGAGGGAGAGGAAGAGCAGGGCACGCAGGTCTGATGAGGAAGGAAAGAAAGGAAGAAAAAAAAAAGAAAAGAAAAGCAATTGATCCTTATCCTAATTTCCTTTCTTTTTAGTCCCTCAACTTTTGAAAATTTGACTATTAAGCCCCAAAACAATATTTTTCCTCAAATAGGTCCCTTACTCAACTTTAATATTCTAGAAATTTTTGGGGTATTACAATTATCGTGGAAAAGAGCATGAATTAAGTATCAAAAGCAACCATTCTACGGCAACTACTAACGTATCCAAAAACAGGTAAAAAATGAAACCCATTACCAAAGCTTGGAACACAGTCAAACAAAAGGAATCAATTAAAGAGGAGAATCCCATGATGGCGAAGTTCAAAATCAACGAACCTTGTCCCAGGAAGCCTCTAGATCTAACAACTTGGCGAAAATGAGAAAAAATCTGTGATGGGTTCATCGATACCCAGCACGGCTGTGTTGGTTCGTCGATACCCAACCCAGCTGCTAGGTTCTATCTGGGTTCAGTGGGTAGGAAAAGAAAAAGGAGAAAGAGAAAGAAAGAAGGAGAAAGAGAAAGAAAGAAGGAGAAAGAGAAAGAAAGAAGGAGAAAGAGAAAGAAAGAAGGGGAAGAATGAGGGTAGTTGGGTTTTGACCGAACCCGGCAGGTGGGTGCAACGGAACCCAGTTCAACTGGGTTCAACAGAACCCAACTACTAGGTTTTATCTGGGTTTGGTGGGTAGGAAAGAAAGAAAGACGGGGAAGAAGGAGGGTAAGAACATAATTTTGTTTGTTTTTATTTTTTTTAAATTAAAATACAAATATTAATTTGATGTGGCATTTTTATTTATTTATGTGATATAATTATAATATATGATATGTCACATCATCAAAAGAATTAAAAGAAAATGCCACATTATATTATTTAACAGCCACGTCATGCTTAACTGATGGAAGGACCAACGTTGTGCATTCCTTAGAGTTGAGGGATCAAAAAAGTGCAAAAAATTGTTGAGGGACCAAAAAAGTGCAACTCTATCAAGTTGAGGGACCAAATTTAGTATTTAACATAAATTATAGTATTGATCAAAATTTAATGAAAGTAAATAAGTGGTTGATATTTACCTTAAAAGAAAGCCAACTTATCCAAAACAACTCCAACTCATAGCTTGGATGCCTCCACCAAAGCAATTTTGTCAAGATAAATGTGGATGATTCAACTAGAGGTGCACTGGATGCATTTGCCGCAAGGGGTTGTTTTTAGCTATCAAGATGATTCAGGTCAGTGGCTCTTTGGATTTTCACAAAAGTTGGGTGAAGGTCATGCTATTCAAGTGGAATTATTTGCTCTTTGGAAAGGAATGAAACTTGCATAGGAGAAAGATTTCAAGGGAATGATTATTGAATCAGATTATTTACTGGCAATTAAAAAGTTGAAGAACAATGGTGTTAAATCAAGTGCATTATCACAATTGGCTAGTAAGTGTAAAAATTTCATGCAAAATGACTGGATGTGTGAGGTGCAACACATGCTGTGTGAGATGAATTGTTGTGTGAACATAATGACATCTAGTTTCTACCATTTAAGCCATGGATTTCATGTCTTTAATGATCCTTTAGACTAGGTTTGGAGGTGTCCTAGGAATTATATTGTTAGTGTTTGTAGCTAAGCCTCATGTCATTATTAGATAATTTCCAAAAAAAAAAAAAATTAATGAAAACATGCAACAAAATAATACTCTGTTTGAGTCTAAGCATTCCATATATGCATATATATCATGATGAATTATGCAAAAGGTTATGTCAAGATATTATGTTTCTTATTTGATTCATATTACTTTTAATTTTAATTTTTGCCCTATCAAACCTATGCCTTATTACTATTCTTTTTTTAAGAGGCATGTACTTCTAATATTTATAGATATATATATCTATATAGGGAAAGTTTAGATTCTTTTTATCTCTAATCTAGTTCAACCTTTCTCTAGTTTTCTTTCATCATTTGAGATAGTTTTCTCTTAAATAACAAATACATGTTCTAGAACTTTAGTAATCTAAATAGAAGGAAATGAACAAATTAAAAGTAAATATATTTATGAAAATCTTTTAGAGCAACATCCATCTCTATAAAAAAAATCACAAAAAAAGAACAAATAGACTAATAGGGAAAATAAATCATACAAATAAGTATATATATATATAGGAAAAATATCTTTAAAAGGGGAACACTTGAAACATAATAAATACAATTTCCCAACTATTAAGTCCACAGTAACTCTTGATAGGAAATTGTAGAATGAAGGAATAGGAGAACTTTGAGTTTTTGATAGAAAGAAAGTTTAATAAAGGTTTATATAGGTGTTTAGACCAAAATAACAGCTTTTGTGATAATACCATGTGTCCTTAATGAAAATCCAATGACTACAATTCTTTCCATACAATTAGGAATTCAAAAGATGATCAATGGCCATGAATTGGTATTGGCTCAATTAATGCACTCCAAGAGAAGGGTTGAATTGGAGTTTTATGATTTTCCTCTTTTTGCAACCACAAAGTCAAAGAGAAAAGAGATGAGAAGCTTGCACCAAGATTTTATTGAGGTGTGGTCCAATCACTTGCACCTAATCCTCTACCTTGACTTCACTCACCAAGAATTTCCTCCACACTCTCCACTAAAATTAAAAAAGGTTGTTTAAAGAAACCATTCAATCCTTTTGCAAGAAATGGGCTTTTTCACAAATCACACTCATTTACAAAGTAAACCCAATAATCCTCACTATAAATCACTCTAGAAGGAATTAATCACACCCCCAAGATATCTCTCAAAGAAAGCAAGTAAAGGATTAGAAATAAAGATCACTCAAAGATCAATATCACAAGTTAGAGCACAATAATTTCAAGTTGGTAGGTGAAAGGTATTCAATGAAACTGTCTAAGAGAGTTTTCAAGACTTTTATAAACCATATTTATACCCCCATGGTCAAAAAATAGCCATTTCTATTCATTGGAATCATTTAATGCAATGTAGATTATTTAACTATAAGAAAGCACGTTGTAGAATTTTACCATTGAGCAAATTATACCTTTAGAGCTAGTTTTTCACAATGGCTATCACTGTCAAAGCAAGCTATCCTTGTCTAGCTAAATGTTCTATTCTTCTTTTGAATAAATTGCAAATCCCAAAGCCGACTTAGCAAATTTAGGTCTAAAAAATTAAAAAATATTCGAAACTTTTGACTGTTGGGCATTGAGTCGGTTGTAGAAGGAAGAAATGAGTATGAGTTGGCAGAGCCAAACAACAATGAAATCTACTCAATTTAGGCTCAATGAAGGAGGTAAAGTGTTCTAGTCAAAGAGAAGATAAAGCTTCTAATGAACAATGATGAAAAAAAGGGCAAATTTTAAGGAAAGGTACAAATGTCAATTAAAGGAAAAAGGTGTGGTATTAATAATTTACAATTATGTTGGCATTCAAATAGATATAGCTATAGATAGCTAAAGAGATTGTTTAAGAAGATGAGAATAATTAAAAAAAATGGTAAAAATTGTAGTTGTTGATGTAAAAGAAAGGTGAAAAGAAAAGTTTCATAACATTAGAAATGATAAAAGCAAATTAGGGTCATTTAAGGTTTTTAATATTGCACAAATAATTGTTATGCATTATAATTCTTTGATTTGTTCTTACTCTTTATAAATAAGATTTGATACAAATAAGGACACAACCTTTTAAAACTTTTCTAAGAGATGATATGACCTTTTTTCTAATTGCTACCACCTTTAAAAGTTTTAATTAAAGATATGACCTTTACAATTTTACTAATCAAGGCTTCAAAGGTTTCTAAGCAAGGATATAACTCTAAACATTCACTTAATCCTTTTTTAGAAAAATCACAAAGGTCATATCTTTGATTAGAAACTTTTAAAAGGTGATAGCCTTAATTACTTTTTTTTTTAAAAAGTCATAACCTTAGCTAGAAAAGTTTTAAAAAATTGTGTCCATATTTGTACCAAATCTCCTTCATAAATATTGGCCTTCTATTCCTCTTTCTTTGGTCTAATGCATTATGCAACTAAAAATAATAATGTTACCATAGAATGTAGAAAACAAAGGGTCTTGTTCCCATCCTTTTTCTATCTTTTGATTCTTTGTTTTTTCTTTCCTTTCTCCATGATTTTGTTTTATTTTTATAGCGTTTTTTGCAAGGGTTCTTGTCTCCCCTTAAGGTTGGCTTACCTGGGAGTTCATCCTTCCAATGTAGCTTGTATGAATTTTATC